GCAGGGGGCGGGGGTTAGCACGGGCGGCGTTCCCCCGCCCAGACTGACAGGGCAGCCGGCCAATCAGGGGGCAGGATGGGCGGTGGTGGTAACGCCCGCCCGGCGACGTGCGGGGGAACGTGAACCCCGGCGGGAACTATAAAAAGGTGACCCCTTCCGCCCAGGGGGGGGGAAGGAGTGAGCGGTGGCAAGCAGGAGGGGAGGACAGCGTGCAGAGGAAGGGGAGAGCAGGGGGAAAAGCCCCCCCCCCTTCCGGGAGAAACGGATTCGCAAAGCCAGAAATGTCTGCTATTTTGGCATCCAGGAAACAATTTCACCATTCACACTAATACAGGTGTTCATGTGTAGTGTATCAATGTGTTATTAAATAACTGAATAAAATAATATTAAATAAATAATTAAAAACAACATCCATGTTTTGATTGTTTTTTATTTGGACCTCAAGTGTGTAGTTGGCCCCCGAACTGCTGTTTGATAGTTAATGCGGCCCTCGGGCTGAAAAGTTTGGAGACCCCTGCTATATATGGTAGCAGCATGTTAAAATGCAAGAATTTTAAAAAATGGTTGAGGGAGAAAGCCATGAGATTACAGCATTAAATATTCCTTTTACCTATAAATTACAAGCCTCCTGGGAGTATTTCTAGACAGTCACCTTCTGGGACAATGGAGATTACATTCCTCTCTGGTTATGACAGAAAAATTAGTTCTCACAAAGGGCAGAAAGACAAACCTGATTCATGCAGAATGAATCAACGAATGCCTTCAACCAGTGCCTTCTTCTCAACAATTAGCTTGTTAAAAACTTCACTCATTTTCTGTTACAGATCTGAACCAGGTTTGTCCCATCTACATTGACAGTTAAACCTTTGTTCTTAGGAAACTTATTGACAGCAATCATTGCTAGGCATGTATCAATTTTAAAGAATAAACCAGAACAGCATGTGAAGGGCCAAGAGTTGTTTTGTTTTTTTTTTTAATTCCACTGTCATCTCATGGAAAGTAAACACCAAAAGCTAAAAATTTTCATTATATACATGTTTCTTAATTGAAAATTCTTATATCACAGCACAAGAATCATCATGGTTCTCCTCCCACCACACATTTTTGGTAAGGGTCTACTAAAGCATTCAGTATTCTAAAATAACACATATTAATGCAGCTTGTTTTCTTTTCAAAAATAAATATCAGACAGCTATGTATGATCCAATATATAAAATGCACTTAACTGTGGAATCGATCAACAGATACTTCACCAGCAGTTGTCAAGCTACCTAGATGCACTGAATTTTTCCCAATTATTAAAGTAACTGAAAATTGGAATATACAAAACATCCTGCTTAATGAGATTAAGAGCCTGGGAAGGCTGTAAATGGAGAGCCCTCTTGGATTACAAGCAACCTGAAACACAGGCAACTTCAATTTACTACTTTTAAATAACTCTGTAAAAAGGCATGATTATCTTTGGTCTCAAGTTGCTGTATTTTTAAGTCCTCCCTGTATTTTTTC